AATTCACTAACTATCATGTTTTTGAATGACTGCCCGGTTGATGGGTCAAGCATTTCCCGAACTCATGCTGGGAAATAGCATTACATCCGAAACCTGGTTAAGAATGTTGTCAATCTGCCCGTCGGGAGAAACGCTCTGGCCAGAGGAGTACGCTGGTACCCCCGATCCCAGAGTGGAGGATGGCGATGCGAACGAGGTGGCAGGGGAAGTGTTCTGCAGGCTAGGTACCACCTTCGGCACCACCCGGTGGCGCGTTTTGCGCGCACGGAAGGCGGCACTGACCTCCCGAAGAGCGTGAAGGGAGGATGCAAGGTGCTTGGCCGAGTCCGTCTTGCTGTTGTGATCGCTGCTCTCATCGTCATGAACATGGTCCGACAGCACCGCTTCCAGTTTCTCGATCAAGTCCCACGTCTGCGGATGCAACTGATCGTTGTTATTCGCTACCAAGAGAAATGCTGACGCAATGGTTCGTTGCAGGCTAATCCAGGTTCGCGAGGCATGAGAATTGATGGAATGCAGCTCAATGAATGCCTCGATCGTGTTTATCAAGTTCGTCAAGCAATCCTCCCGAACAATTTCGCGCCGCTGGTCATCCATCGGAGTGTCCGGATCCAACGAAACTCGGCACATGAGAGATATGAAATACGAGGAATGGAGTCGCAGTTCGGTCCGTTCGATATGCTCCCCGAGCGTCGTACAGCGTTCGCGAGATTTCAAATGCGGTGCAGCCTCGGCAATGATTCGTTCAATGCGCTGCTTATACTCCCGGATTTCGTGGTACCGCAGGTGGGAATGGTGGGTGAACATCAGCCCTCGCAGCATGTCGAGGACAACCTGAATCAGGCGGCAAAGCGTTTCGAAATACCCTCGGTGACCGGGCATCGATTTCGGATCGTACGGGATCTCCGGCTGGTTGATCATGGTGATGGATGGTCGGTCATACGCCAAGGAAAAATGACTGTTCTGAAAAGCCATCGCCCACCTGATTGCGTTGCGCATTAGCATCGGAGAACTCTCCAGTCACTCTCATGATTGTCGATGATTTCCCTTACCATACTCTTCTCCGCGCCGCCTGCGTGGCTCGCGAAAACCCCGAGGTCTCGACATGGAGACCCAGCACCATACACATTCGCTCCGTCATTCCTTTCCGTTGAGTACATTAGCTTCAAGCTGCTGCCTCGGGTGCGTTGAATATTACTCACCCAGCAACGTGTAAGATGCGCCTGCGTTCATGTTATACGACAAGACACTGCCAATGATCAAGAGGATCTGGATCACCTCCAGGGATGGCTGAGACACATAGTTCAACATGCGCAGACAATGGTAAGAACAAGACACTTAAGGCGGGTAAGTATGAAGTGATTAGAAGCTAGTGTGGGGGTGTCGACCAACCGTATACCCACGAGGTCAACTCGCGTTCTTTCCCAGGCAGATCAGATAGTTGAGAGCCAGACGCTAAAACAGCAAATAGAAGGCTAAGAAAAGAGACACTCATGCCAAACGGCTTCACTAGGCCATTAGCATCCGGACTATATACGCCACCCGCAGCCTGTCGGCCCTGCAACAGTTTGTTCATGTCCGCTTCAAACTTGACGAGATCGGGCAGCACGGGATACAGCACCGCACCAATATTCCGATAGAAAGCTAGAAATTTTCGGCATTGCTCATCGTCGGGCAGCACACTGCACACGCCAGAGATATTGAACGTATACGGATCGGACGACCAAAGGTCCACGAAAGGATAGGCGGCCGACTCGTTCCCCATCGCCAACTCGGTAAGAAGGTCATCTTTGGGTAGCGCCTGCGCCGTGTCCTCGGAAACCTTCGATTTGTCTAGAATGTCCACCAGAGCAGACCTCGATCCGATGTGAACTGAATTTGTTCTCAGCGTAGTTGATCCATAGATGCCCTCAGAGGCAGGCGACTCGTCTTCCTCCTCCTGCTCCTGCGACGGTTCCGATCGGGAGTGGGCGACTTTCCGCGCGCCGTGCGCCTGAAACAAAGAGCCCAAACTGGTCAGGATCTGTTCCATTGTCTGCATCTTGGAATTGATCTCGTCCCATTCCTCTTGCGACAGCGTTACCATCTCCGATAGACCATCCTGGTTGGCAGAGCTGGCTGATTCGGGATCAGCACCGTAGAGGCCATCGCGATGGGCGGCAGGCTGATAAGCCGCGGAAGGCATGTACTGAGGCGTATTGGTGGCGGGAGTCGTAGCGGACGAGGCATACTGATCGGGAATGAAGGAGGCCGGTCTGGGAGCGGTGGGTGGAGGACGACCGTAGGAGCAGGTGAAGTTGCGCTTGACGCAGTTGCCGCATGGAACATTGCGATCGCAGCGGACCTTGCTGGCACGGCAGGGTAGGCAAGTTTTACACTCGCGCGGCCGGCGACGGATAGGATAGGTAGGCATTGCTTGCGGTAGGATTTGCAGACGTTTGCTTGGTCCCCGCTATTTGGGAGGGGAATCTCGGGGATTGATGTGCGTGACGGAAGGGAAGGGATAGACAAAACGTCTGTCTGTGCAACCAAACGATCATACACGCGCGCTTAATTTCCGAAACGGGGCTCTAATCGTAGTGCAAACGTGAGTAAAAATGTGAGACATTGGGCGAAGGTGTTCAAAAATTTAAAAAAGAGCGAAAAAAAAAAGTAGACGACACGTGCAAATTGGAGAGGAAGAAAGAGAGAGAGAGAGAAAGAGCTGCGAGCGAATGAGGATAGAGTTAGACGGGCCGAGACGTCAGCAACTCTCAGCGCGACGGAGATAGGCGTATTAGGACTGGGCAGAGGAGCAGGGCACGCAAATTTCATCAATGGGCTGCCGAGGAGGGCGAAACAGTGGAAAGCCAGACGGAGGAAGAGGCAGAAGGAGGGGGGCGAAGAGACAGACACTCACCGATCAATGGGTCCGACCCCGGCTGCTGCTGCTCGTAGGATTTTGAATCACCATGATAATAAGCAGATGTCTTCGAGCAGAAATGATAGTAGGTTTGGGTTTAGGCAAGTGAAGCCCTGAGAAAGTATGATGAGGAGTGACAGTTGTGGAAGTAAAGATAGTAACAAAAAGATGGGGACAAGATGGTCGAGGTTAGATAGACGATCCTCCGATCAATGCATAAGCCGATCTTTCCCTGGGGAGCAGCAGCAGCAGCGACAGCAAGCAGCAAAGCAGCAAAGCAGCTTTGGGGTGATGAACTGACTTTGGGAGGGGATCCGATCCGGCTCTTCTCTCTCTCTCTTTCTCTCAGCTCTTTTCCTTCCCTCTGTCTGTCTGTCTCTCTGTCTCTCTTCCTCTCGGTTGTCTCTCTGACTCGCCCGGTTAGTCAGGCAGACATCGGCAAGAGAGAGAAAATAGAAAATGGCATAACCAACCAACTAACTCAAACCCAACCCCCAAAGGCCCGCTGAGGAATTCCGCGCCGTGGAAATGGAACCTTCCGAGATGGCGTGTTGTCTCATGCTCTTCTCTTCTCCTTCTTCCCCCTCCATCCGGTTCTCAACAAAGTTCCAATCGGGAACTGGAGAGAGTCGTGCAATGAAGAAAAATCTATAAGTTGTCGGTAGTAGTAGTAGTGCTTATCATGCCGTCCCCCAAATTGTTGAGTTCCCGATCGTTAGACTTTTTGGCAGCTTTCTTTCATTCCTTCCTTCCTTCCCTTTGTGTTCTTTCCAATGTGTCTCTGTTGTTCCGCATGGACCAAGCAAGCCGTGAATCATTCCCGCTCGGCAATTTCCCACCCAATGATTAATCGCCCATTGGTGTTCATCTGATGGTTCATCATTCTTCTTCCGCATCATCCTGGCGCTGCACCCCTTCCTTCCTTCCCGGCTGTGTCCACACCATTGCATTCCATCCATCCATCCATAGTCTCGGGTCCGGTGAGGTCATCGGCGCAACTCCCTGGTTTAGTCAACTGAGTTCGTCAACGCAATTCTGTTTCTCCCCCACTTGTCAGTCTAGTTTAGGACATTAGTGTAGTTAGTGTAATGTAGTCACTTCAGGTTTAGTAAATTTGATTGTTTCCCACCTCATTTTCACCCCGGTATCGTAAGTGAGCGAGCTATGAGCTAGCAACTCAAGCAATCACTGCATAATGCATAATCAACGTGCAGTTCGGTTAATGATTCGAAATTGTTCCCCATCTTTTGATCAATGAAGGTCGAAGATGGAATGATGATGGATGTCAAGTCCGGGATAGAGAGGCCTGGTGGATGCTGTAGTAGTGAGAGATGGTTAGCGAGAGCTGAGAGGCAGTAAGGCGAAGCAGTTTGACAGGTCGGGGTCAGCTGACTGGGTAACTAAGTAAGGTAAGTGTATGAAAGAATGAAAGGAAGGAAGGAAGGAAGAAATGGGCTGATCTGCTTTGTACATTACATCCTTCTTTCTTACTGCTTCTCTCCCGCCGAGGCGAGCTGGTAGATAGTGGGGAGGTAGTAGCTAATACGACTACTACAGTACGGTTGGATCGCTCCTTCCTTAACTGGTGAGGCTAAGTGGTCTAATTACGTGTCAATTGAAAGGTGATATCGATCTGCTTGATGGATGTTATTGGCGTGTTTCCTTTACTCTTTTTGTCTCTGCAGGTCGGGGTACCAGGTAAGAGATCGAAAAACCATCATCAATGTGATCGGTATATTTGGTGTATCTTATAGTATACATGACTTCATGATGCATCGGGCATGTCTCCACACCAGCTGCCTAGGGCTTCACTAAGTAATTTAGATAACATTGGGGGACGGTCGGCTCTTGTGCACAGCTTCAGAGGTGCCAATCAGCGTTGTCGTCCCCGCCACAGGATGTGTCTACTACTCCGCGCCGGTCGTCTTCGCTTCCAGCCTACGGTGGGAAGGACGCACACAACCCCCTGGGGAACCGCCGTCGCGTGGTCTAATCCCCGTCAGGATCGCGGCGGGAAGGGCAACAAGGGTCTGTTTTACTTGCCAAGACTCGCGCCCGCCTGGCAAGTACCGGTCGCCGTAGAGAGAGAGGATGCCCTTCACGTCTTCTTAGAGGTTGCTACTGTCCCTTGGGAAATCTGCGGGACTATCCACCAATCATGCCAACGGGCCTTACTTCCAACCTCTGGAATGGTCACCTGGAGGTTTATCGATGGGCGGTTGGCCGCTTCATCAGATTGTTCCTTTGGCGTGCGCTTCTCCAATGCTTCCTTGACTGTTCCGATGGCAATACTGGCACCGATGCAGGCGCGCTTCGTGTCTTTGATGTCGCGCTTCCAGTCTTCTTCAATGGCCGGTGCGGGGCTCTCCTCGCCATCGGAATCGCGGATAAAAGCCCCGTTCGCTAGCGTGGCTTCCCACGCTTTCCGGGCTTCCGAGATCGCCTTAGTGGCACGCTCCAGCACGATCTCGTCACTGTCCCCTTCGAGCACCGCTTCCCGGCGGTACTCATCGTAGGGGACCAATTCCGGCAAGGTAATTGAAAGGAATGGTTTCATGCGGAGTTCGTAGCGCAACCGGTCGCTGGAGTACGCTTGGGGTGACGAGGCTGTTGGCAGGACACGATGGCGAGCAAGTAGCACGTACAGGGCGTGCAGGGAAATCGCAAATGCGTCAATCGCAACGATTTGCGTCGTGAGCCGTTCGAGCAGTTTGAGGGACTTCTGGAGGGCAGCATGGCGTTCAAGAGCATCGCGCTTCTTGGCGGCCACATCGGGAAGGTTTCGTTTGGCCGTGGCGACAGTGAACGTGCGGATACGATCGATATGGCCTAGATGGGTAGAACAAATGTGGGACAGGTACCAGTACATCCCCGGTAGTTCTTCCGGTGCGTAGATAGAAAGCTCGAACCCGAGCTGAAGAATGAGGCGGAATTGAACCAGTTTCTGATGGTAGGCCCAGCTACTAAGAGGGTATGAGTACGTTGCGTCGCCATTAGCGAGCATCAGCGGGGGTTCTTTGCTGAGGGTACGGAGTTGCTCATCCAGATCTTCCGCCTACAGAGGATTAGCCCTACCCATGCTAACTGGAATATCGGGAGACTTACCTCCATTTGCAAGTTATCCCAGTCGACAATGGTATGGCAAACAGTACGGCGGATGCGGCAGCGATTCAGGCAGGAACTACGGAACGTGTCCACAAAAGGCTGCATGGATTAGTCGGGTCAAGCCTTGAATAGAAACGTATACACGGGAAGAGAGAATGGGAGGTGCCTACCTGGGAGAAGCGCTGCACGAACGCGTCCATTTGCTTGGCAATCTGGAAGCGGGGGTCTGAAGGCACCTCAATATCGTCCATGTTGGCTTGCAGAAGTATACTAGACGGTAGTACAAGCTCCGCGAGCTCATCGTACAGGAACTGTTTAACCGGGACGGCTCCCAGTATCGTCATGTTGTTTACGATCATTGACTGAACCAGCGATCGGATATATACTGATGGCTGAGGCTTGCGTGACAGCAAAGTCCAGACAATTACCTGCGTTCATTAGTAAGACACTGCTGCAGCGACAAAGCTGTGTGGCCACCCACCTTGAAATTGTAAGGACCGCGGTAACCGATGACTTCTTGGAGATCAATTGCGTCTTGACATAGTCGCCTCAGATGCGCCAGCGCATCGTCGAAATTGATATTCACCATCGGTCGTGGCGGCACAGTGCTGGCCAGTTTTCTTTGAATCTTCCAACTGAACGAATCAGGCACTTGCGCTCCAAGGGTCGTCGATTTGGCCATATCATCCAATTGGGGCAGACAAGCCAAAAACGGCTCCTTTGACCTCGTCTCAATCACTTCGATATCTTGTTCCATGCCCTTCAGAAAGTCACGTCGGAAGAGCAGTCTGGTTTTTATGGCCTGCCGCACGTTCTCATCCAACTTATCCTTCTGTTCGTCAACCCAATAAATCGCTTGATGAAGGAGGTCGTAGAATGGCTCCGGTTCGAATTGCGACAGCAGGCTGCGATTGTAGAGCTGGGTGACAAAGTCCTCTTCCTGTGATGAAGGAATGCTGTTAGCTGCGGAGCCAACAGAAGGTAGTAAGCCGAAACCAACCTCGAAATAGTATTCAGTGGCTACTCGTGCATGAACAAAGTCGCAGCATTTGAGGAGCGCCAGACAATAAGCACGCAGTACCAGATGCACGACCGGGGCTTCCTTGTCATTACTCGCGGCACGTCCGCGAGAGAAGGTGGCTTCATCGAGCGACTTCGGGACCGGCCACAAGAGCTTATCAAGGTACAGGGATGTGAAGAGGGTTTGGGAAAGAGGGTGGCCCATATGCCATGCCATCTATCGCAACAGACCAGTTAGCATGGTCGGATGCAGCGTCAAAAATTCGAGTGCGAGTACCTCAACATACCTCATGACACAGCAATCCGTCCATAATACCAAGGACCTCCTCCGGACTAAGCTCCCGCGTCACATCGTAATCGTCATCCAAAGCCTGCGCATGGTTTTCGCCGGGGCCTAGATATCCACTATCCATCTTGGAGTCCATAATCTATTACGAATGGGAGAATATCAGCTTCTGGTTCGATGTAATCGGCCGGACGTCTGTCAAAAGCATATTGAGTCGCAACCGACCTCCAGCGCCCCAACTGCTTCGAAAAGCGTGAAGTAATCATCTTTGACGAGCTGGCCAGTTTTCAGCTCTGAGGTAAAGATAGTGAAGTAGTCAGTGAGCAATTCACTTTATACGGTGGAATCATAAAAAAGGGCGGGCTGTAGAGAGGAAGTGGCTCACTTGAGGCAGCGGATGTAAATTCATCGGTGATGTCGCGCGGGACTACCGACTGCGTGACAACCCGCATTGTCGAAACAGGGAATGAGTCGTTAGGCAGCATGTGAAACCACGATCATTTGCAGCCAGCTGCCAGATTGTCTGGGTCGTCTAAAAAGAAGGGTTGTTCCCAAGGGGAAGGGGAATGAGAGTTGGAGCAGACCGAGAGCGGGCGAGGGGAGGGCGGGGAGTCGGGCGGACAGGGCAAAACTTGCGGGAAACACAAGCCGCACGCGCTCAAGCAGAGCCCGTCGAGTTCTGTTCAGGAACCCATGCTCTCGCAGGCACAAGAACTACATTTGTGGATAAGCGGGCCCTGCTAGCCAGCTAGAGAAGAACGGCAGGAAGAGATAGTTCTTTTCTATTTAGACCTGATCAAAGGGGCCAATATGCTACAGAGATCTATTCCATTCCTGCCCATGGCTTCCACCCGAGACGAGACCTCAACATCCTTCATCCAGAATACACATCTTCCGGGCTTCTTTCACACAATTTCGGAACGGGGTATTTATTTCGACTCGGCCTGAGCAGCGAGAGCCTCATCGTTGGCCTTGGCGAGGGACTTGACTTCACCCTGCTTGCCGTTCTATATCCGGAACCCGATAGTCAGTCAAAACCGTCCTCATCCCATTGAAGTTTGGCGAAGGGTATGTCAGGCGTGCAAATACGAACCTCCCACTTGGCGAAACGCAGGTCCATGTTTCCGCGGCGCTCAGCAGCAGCACGGGGACCGTCCTTAAGAGACCTGCGGACCGCGCGAGCGGCAACGGTCAAGTAGCGGTTGTAGCTGTAAAAGTCAACCAAGACGTCAGTCGGAGGGTCTGAAGCAGACAAGACGATTCAGAGCGAGACGATAACATACGTGAGACCAGCAGCTTTCCAAGCGAATGCCATTTTGACGGTGAGGGATAGATGAGGGGATTCTGTTCAGGAGAAGGAACACTTGCTTTGGGATGCTTTGCAGACGGTCGAGTTTCGGAGGTTCGGGAAGGTTGGGTCATGTGATACACGTGACTGACACGCCCTCAACCGGATGTACTTCCCCATATTTATCTTTAGATCTTATAGTATTTTAAGTGTTTCATCCAGCAAGATCGATTCGTTGCAATAGAGCAGGCACTACTAATTGTTCTGTGACTTTTGGAAGACTCAATTTGATTCATGTGTCTCCAAGTAATAAAGAATCTCCAGCAACTAACATATATATCTGGAGGTATATATTAATCTAAGAATATAGATGGAAATGAGCAATCAGTTACTTCTAAGCCACTAGAGTATTAGGGCTGGCGATGTATGGTAGCACCCGATAACCTCTTGATGTAGTAGAAGCGCCAATGCAGCTTATTAGCTAGTACAAGTACTGCAGCTCATCACTTATAATCCTCCAACATGACCTCTGTAACTACTATTTTGTCATTAGGACCATACAGGGCCGAGGAGACTTGTAGAGGATAGCACAAATATGGTTAATAGTTTATATTAAGGTTATCACAGTGGTAAATAGTTGCTATTAGTCATAATATAGGTATTTAACTGCCATAAGTAAGTACGGTGGTTTCTAGCTTTCACAAGTTATGAACTCTTCTGTAAGTATGCCCTATCAGTTTCTTTTGACTACTACCACTACTAAAGATAGTAGTAGGTGGGAGAGTCGGTGAGAGGACCAACGGACTATAATTTAACAGCACTACTCTCAAAAAGACGGTAGTCTCCCTCCGCCAGAATATATTTTGACCATCCTCATATTTCTGGTGGTAGTCAGTATACTTAGAACCTAGGCTTAACATAATAAGCTCTTCATATCAGTCACTAGGGACTTTTTTTAAATTACATATATAATTTATGTTTTACAAAATATCAAAGAAGCCTTTATATCCGGCAACGGGTTACCTCTTCCGACGACCCGAGGCGATTCCCTCGGATAGCCGGGCCCCACGTGACCTTCTAGGAGCTTCTGCCGCCAAGACAATCCGGGGATCGAGAATCGCCTGGAAAATTTTCGAGACTTTGGCTTCATCTCCATCCCCATCTCCATCTCTTCCTCCATCCATTCTTCTTCTCCTTCTTCTCCCTTGACACCCGTTCTTGCTCTGGGAGTTCTGGTCGGGTAACCCTCGATCTAATTGTATTCTAATATCCTCTTCTACCTTGTTTCTGTCTTGTTTTTCATAACATCCCTTCAAGATGCAACGCGCTCTCTCTTCCAGGACCTCCGTCCTGTCCGCCGCTGCCAAGCGTGCTTCTTTCCAGAGATCTCCCGTCAGCCTTCAGCAGCAGCGTTTTGCTCACAAGGTATGTCTCTTAGCTTGGAATTGAGCTGCTCTTGCTGGAGCTCTCGACAGCCCTGTCTGGAAGCTTGCTCACACCTTTCTAGGAGCTCAAGTTCGGCGTTGAGGCTCGTGCCCAGCTCCTCAAGGGTGTCGACACTCTTGCCAAGGCTGTCACCTCTACTCTTGGTCCCAAGGGTCGCAACGTCCTGATCGAGTCCCCCTACGGTTCCCCCAAGATCACCAAGGGTACGTCCTCCCTACAATCATATTAATAATACGGAGCTTCGCGGATCGATCCGTACTGACTGTAACAGACGGTGTTAGCGTTGCCAAGGCCATTCAGCTCCAGGACAAGTTCGAGAACCTCGGTGCTCGTCTCCTCCAGGATGTCGCTTCCAAGACCAACGAAATCGCTGGTGACGGTACCACCACTGCCACCGTCCTTGCCCGTGCCATCTTCTCCGAGACCGTGAAGAACGTTGCCGCTGGCTGCAACCCCATGGACCTCCGTCGTGGTATCCAGGCCGCCGTTGACGCTGTTGTCGACTACCTCCAGCAGAACAAGCGTGACATCACCACCGGTGAGGAGATCGCTCAGGTCGCTACCATCTCCGCCAACGGCGACACCCACGTTGGTAAGCTCATCTCCACCGCCATGGAGAGAGTTGGCAAGGAGGGTGTTATCACCGTCAAGGAGGGTAAGACCCTCGAGGATGAGCTTGAGGTTACCGAGGGTATGCGTTTCGACCGTGGATACACCTCCCCCTACTTCATCACCGACGCCAAGTCCCAGAAGGTCGAATTCGAGAAGCCCCTGATCCTGCTCTCTGAGAAGAAGATCTCCGCCGTCCAGGACATCATTCCCGCCCTTGAGGCCTCCACCACCCTCCGCCGTCCTCTCGTCATCATTGCTGAGGACATTGAGGGTGAGGCTCTCGCCGTCTGCATCCTGAACAAGCTCCGTGGCCAGCTCCAGGTTGCCGCTGTCAAGGCCCCTGGCTTCGGTGACAACCGCAAGAGCATCCTTGGTGATCTTGCCGTTCTCACCAACGGTACTGTCTTCAGCGACGAGCTTGACATCAAGCTCGAGAAGCTGACCCCCGACATGCTCGGTTCCACTGGTGCCATCACCATCACCAAGGAGGACACCATCATCCTCAACGGTGAGGGCAGCAAGGACAGCATCTCTCAGCGCTGCGAGCAGATCCGTGGTGTCATGGCTGACCCCACCACCTCCGAGTACGAGAAGGAGAAGCTCCAGGAGCGTCTCGCTAAGCTCTCTGGCGGTGTCGCCGTCATCAAGGTCGGTGGTGCCTCCGAGGTTGAGGTCGGTGAGAAGAAGGACCGTGTTGTCGACGCTCTCAACGCCACTCGCGCTGCTGTTGAGGAGGGTATCCTCCCCGGTGGTGGTACTGCCCTCCTGAAGGCCTCCGCCAACGGTCTTGCCAACGTCCAGACCGCCAACTTCGACCAGCAGCTCGGTGTCAGCATCATCAAGAGCGCCATCACCCGCCCCGCCCGTACCATCGTCGAGAACGCTGGTCTCGAGGGCAGCGTCATTGTTGGCAAGCTCACCGATGACTTCGCCAAGGACTTCAACCGTGGTTTCGACAGCTCCAAGGGCGAGTACGTCGACATGATCTCCAGCGGTATCGTCGACCCCCTCAAGGTTGTCCGCACCTCCCTGGTTGACGCCAGCGGTGTTGCCTCCCTCCTTGGTACCACCGAGGTCGCCATCGTTGATGCCCCTGAGGAGAAGGGCCCTGCTCCTGCCGGTGGCATGGGTGGCATGGGTGGTATGGGCGGCATGGGCGGTGGCATGTTCTAAGCTAAGCCCCGTTCTCGTGTAGCCTTACCCGTTCCTTGTTTCTAAAGAGGTCTCCCTTCCAGCGTGTTGTTGCATAGTACGGGCATTGTCCTGATATGTTTTTTTCTTTCTTCTTGTTCTTGGTTTTTGACTATCTCCTTTGTCTCTAATGTGTTATACGTCTTTGGTCACCTAACCACATCCTCTTTTACCCGACTTATCCTACTTTCACCTCTTATATCCTCTCCTCCCTTATCATCTCCACTCCGTTATATTGGGCACAAAAAGTCTCAGGGAGTCCTGTGTATCATACCATGTACTTTATGTGCTCCACGGCTGTTCACTCTGCCGTGGTGTTTAGCAATTTTATCTATTAATTGTTCATGAGCATTCTACCTTCGTAGTGTGGTGGTAAACCTGTTACTGCCAACCGAGTATTAAAGGAAATACTTGTAACATCAATAAAATGATCCGTCCTAGATCAAGAAGTTACTACTTACTACTAATCAACATCGTAAACAATATATATTCCCATTTATAAAACACTAACTACCAACTCCCAACAAAACCCCACACCTCTATTATCTCAAGTACTAACAACCATCTACTCATCAATCCCCCCACCCCCTCCCCTTCTCCGCATAGTACGGATCCATCCTCTCCCTCTCCACCTCCCCATCCACCAGTCCCATACGCCCCACACCACCACCCATCATCTTATCCTCATGTTCGGACCAAATATCCTCCCCAGACTGCTGTCTCTGTATCTTCCCATTCCGTCTATGTTTCCCCAAGCCACGACGCCCAGTCGTCTTCGGCCGATGATTATTCTCAGATTCAACTCCAGGTCCAGGTCCAGGCCTCTTCCTCTTCACCTTCCTCCCCATCCTCTTCCACCACTGGAAGAGTAATGTGATCGGCGCGAGAAGGAAATCGGCGACTATATCTATGATGAGTTTCTGTGCGCGCCAGAGGGTTTCGCGGAGCCGTTCGTTGAAGGCTATCAGGAGGGCGAACATTATTATGGCGAAGGAGGCGGGGCCTGTTTTGTTTATATTTAGCGTTGGGTTGGGTCGGGGGAGGGAGGTACTTGGGATGTAGGAGGGAGGGGTTGGGGTGTACCTGAAATGTATAGCATCTGGCCCAGGGTTAGGTTCTCTGGCTCGCCGCTCCATTCTCGGGCGTTGATGCCGAATAAGGAGGTGAAGAAGGAGAGGGGGAGGAAGCTGGATGGTGTAGATGAATATCAGGGTTAGTTGTGTGTGTGTGTGGGTTTGCTGGTGTATATTGGGGGGGAAGGAAACTGACATAATGGTGAATATTGTAAAGACCATGACAGATCGAGATTGATCTTGGGTTACTTCTGCTTCCCATCGGGCGAGACGGGATTCGTCGACGCTGGCTTGTTTTTGTTTGAGGTCGAGTAAGTTTTCGACCTGTTGGTTTTGGGGGGGAGGTGTCAGTTCGATGTCTTGCCTGGGAGGAGAAGAATATTGGTGAGAACGTACTGCTTTCTGTGCCACGGATGCGTTTTCGCGCATTTCGAGGACTTGGTTCCGGTACTCTTCTAGTCGGGAGAGGGCCGATTCGATGAATGCTTGTCCGCAGCCTCGGTGTTCGAAGTAGCTGGACATGGTTCTCACTGTAGTTGCTTGCTGTTCGAGGAGTTTGAGGAGGGTGCTGAGTTCGTCTACGATGTCTCTCAGCTCGAGCAATGTGGAGAGGTCCTCGCGGTTTCGTCTGGCTACTTTGTTGTCCCTCTCGTCGCGCTCCGCGGCGGACATGGGTCTGCCTTCGGCGTTCTTGTTATAGTCGGCGGGTCGAGTGTTGAAGCCGCGGTTTCGGAAGCGTTTGAAGGATTTGGTTACGATTTCGGTCTAACATGGTTAGTATTGTAATTTTGTACATTGGAGAGATTGGGTTCTCACAAGAATGCTGATGGACTCTTCGAATATACGGAGTATCTGCAGGTCACGGTGCAATGTCCGGTCCAGAAGGACGGTGATTGCATGCAACACGATTAAGGAAGCAAGGTCGCCAGCTGTTTCGAAGCGTCTTGCGAGATCTCCGTTAAGCTCGTTGTAGATGCTGCTATAGAGGTTTGACTGCTCGTAGAGTTTACCTTCTGCCGTCGTGGCCTCCTGATTGGGGAAGAAAGTGACTACTGTCTT